GTGTGTGTGTGTGTGTGACAGCAAGCAGCAAGCCAGAGCTGGACATTCCTCTGAAGAAAAGACAACTTCTTCACTATCATAGCTGTTTTCCAGCTCGCTAATCATCCTCTGAGTGAGACATCTATTGTCTATAAGCCAGGATGAGTCAGTTAAACAAACACTAGTCATTATCAGTGCAATAGTTGTCTTTCCTTTGCTTAATTTGTCTTTATAAACCTATGTACATTTTGAAAAGTGCTACAAAAAGTGATGCGTGAGTCAAATGCACAGAACAGCAGTGAACAGACTAATGCACATACTACATACTAATGTCTAATGCTTGTCCATTGGCTTTTTTATCTGATCTGATATAATCAATTTTATTAGCACATCCCTGATTCACAAACCCAGTATTACCTTAGCATCCAGATTGGATGAAGGGTCAAATAGTTCAACACAGAACACTAGTTTAGTAACCTACAATACACATGCTTTTCTTTATTACTGATTCTACTGATTCTGTGTCTGTTGTGTTGTCACATGACTACAGTTTCATAATTAGGTCACATGATGACAACTGAAACCATGAAATAGAAAAATAGTTAGTTTCTCTCTACTTTATTCACATATAAGTGGAGACGTGATGTTGATCAGCAGCTTGTTTAAATTAATAATTAAACTGTGTCGTTTTTCTATTGTTTCTTTGCAGAGACACATTTGTCAGTTTACAATTTACAGCTAATGCTGTATCAATGTTGTATATTATATATAATATATGCTGTCAGTATAATAGTGGGTATAAAATGTTTTTTTACTGTTAACATAGTAACTAACATTATTGAGTTTTATTATTTGGTTGGGAATTTGTCTGGGAGGAGTAACTACTGTATGTCTACATTTTCCATCTCTCTCTGTACGCAGTAACAACACATTCTGGATAGTAACCGCATTTCATAGTTTACTACAGGGGTTAGCATGTTGCCAGATATGGCTACCATGCCTCTGTAAGTAATGGTTAGTAAAGAAAAAGATTAAAAAGCAAAACAAAAAAAGAGCAACCTGTGAAGCTTCATCATGTCTCCTGAGTGTCAGTGAGTTTTAGTCCTTCGTGGAGGTGAAAGGAGGATTTAACAGAGTTGAGGAAAAGAGGATTTTCTAAAAATACTTCCATGACTCCCTGAGTTCCTGCTTGTATTTCACATTGTGTCTGAACACATCTCATCAAAAGGTGGACAATTACTGCAATTACTGCAGCTGCTTTTCTAGTGAACTGCAATGCTGTCGAGTTTTCGGTAGAAAGCACATCTCAGGGACACTCAGCTTTCCTGAGGAGCCTAACAACCAGACAAGGAGCTCCAACATATTGGAATGATTGACACTGCATGTCAAATTATGAACCCTAGAAAATCATTTGTGTTCTAAATATATAATTACAACGGCATCTAAAAAACATCGAATCCCAGTGGCATTACTGTGAGGGGCAAAGGAGGTGAGGTGAGACAACAGCTTTGTCACAGTCCCTACCACTGGAAAGCACAAACTGTCAAGATGACTCTTCGCTTTATATATTTTCCCCACCATGACTGTGGGAGTTCTATGACATTGAAAGAGACTTGCAATGGGCTGTTATTGCACGAGTTAGCAAAGAGCCCTGACAGCCCCTTGAATAATCATCTTACCGATGATCACGAGGATAAAGATGAGGGTGGCCACTCCTGCGCTGATGTAGAACATGATTCTGATGTGATTCGCCAGCTCATTTATATCGTCCACATTAGGCACAAGGATGGGTGGGATCAGGAAGCCAATGGCAATGCCCATCTGTGGGTGAGAGGCACAAAATTAAAAGATGACTCTGCGCCTCGAGCTGACGACTAATCACACACACACACATCACGCACACACCGGAACACAGCGACGGAATGTTACTGACACCACAGCTTGGCCAGTCAGCACACAGACATTAAAAAGGGGGAAGTAGCATAATAGAATGTGGGGAAAAGTTTGGAGATAAAGGAAGTTCAGAAAAGAGAAAAAAAGCTTACAGAAAAAGTAAAGTATATAGTATTCTTTTAACCTGCTGCCTCGGAAAATGATAAGGTGCATGGCAAGCAAAGGTCATGTCTGGAACAGTTGTGTGAGTGATGGTATAACTCGAATTGTTAACACATAATTAATACATGCTTATTTTCACCATATGTAGTGACTACATTCAAAATATGCCAGAGGGGGTGTTAAAGAAAGAGTTTAACATTTTGGAAAACACCCTTATTTGTTTTCTTGATGAGTTCCAAGAGAAAATGTCGCTCTCACATCTGTAAATATGACGCTACAGCCAGGAGAAGCTTAGCATGAAGACTGTAAAACAACATGGCACCTCCAAAGCTCACAAAACCCAAAGTGTAAAAAGGCAAATCCGAATCCAGATGACTTCCTAGTTGGAAACAGCTGCAGGGAAACCAATGTTTCTAGTCTTTATGCTAAGCTAAGCTAACCAGCTGCTGGCTGTGACCTTATATTCAATGGACAAATATGAGAGTGGTATCGATCATCTTATCTAACTCTCTATCAGAAAATAATAGGCATATTTCCAGAAATGTAAAACTATTGCTTTACAAAGTACAGGTAGTGCAAGGGGTCAGCCCCCATCCACCCTCAGGATCTAGTGGATCTGGAACAAATAGGGGGGGTACTAAATTTTCCAAATTTGAATACCACATGAGTAGTTCCCACTTCCTCAGGTTCCTACAGCCTCAAGAACATTCCAGAGGGGACACCAACCGAGGTCCCTCCGCTCTAGGGGAAAGGTGAGAGAAGGTAAAGGGCAAGAAGTGACACGTTCCTTGAGGAGGAACCAACCTGTGATAGTGATAGTGATAGTATTTGAGGTGTGGTACAGAAATCAGTCAGGTATCAGACCTTTTCAGTCCTCTGCGAATCTTAGAGCCACCACGATTTACGGTATAGATCTGAACCTTCTACCCTCCACAGCACACACAGATACTTGGAAATTTGCTAATTTCTATCATAAGAATCTGGATTCATTAATTTACCTCGTGGTCATTTTGCTAAGGAAAGCTTTATACGATATTCTTAGAAACCTATAAAGGATCCCTATTACACAGTAACTAGAGACTCAGCTGTTTAATCAGGGTCATATATCTGAAGCACTGTATCACTATTTCTGTCCATTTTGAATAAGTAGAGCAATTTTGATATCTTGTCAAAAATGCAAAACATGTTTATTCTCTCTTGGTGCAAATGAAGGTTGGCCTCTCTTATGAAGTTACTTTTGGCACACAAACTGTTGATCTGTTAGATCTTCAAAGCATCGCAAGCCTTTATGGAAATCCTACCTACTTTTTGTTCATGTGAACTATTTCTGAACGTCCGAGGGGATATATAAACTACTTGTGCCTGAAAACTTGAAGTATCATTTTTAGGGCCCGGGGCCAAAGCAATTAAGTCGTGGTGAGAAAATAAACATCAACAACAATGTGTCCTTTTATCTTCCGTGGCGGGGAGCAGGACTTAAGCGCAAAACAAGAACATGTGTGACAATGACCGGTATGCAGTGTTTGGTTTAACACAGGTGAGAGAGGACAAACTTCAATTGAAGAATAAACAGTTTAGCTTCAGAGGTTGAGAAACATCAGAGGGGGGTCAGGCATCTTTCGATAGTATATGTTTACGTACAGTGTTAAAGATTGTGGCAAGGCTTTCATATATGGCCTTATACATAAGTTATACCTCTGCAGTATCCATTGATTGTTTTTTATTGTCTTGTACGGAGAGAATCATTTACAGCTAAATTGAATCATAAAGCCAGATTCTTCCCTTTGGAAATGACTCAAGATTGCATCAAACTGTGGCACTCTACTGCCAAACTTCTCAATATATCATCTCCGTAAAGAAACTGCGTTGGTCTTATAAGGAGACGTGAACCATGGTAGGTCAAGGTTTTCCGTTACCTCAAGCAAGTTTACCACATTTTCAATTATTTTCAGTGTGCGAGTTAACTGACCACACACACACCCTCCCAGGCAGCCCTCACTAGCGCTTGCCATGGACACAGCATTCTCAGTGTAATCTCATTGAACAGTTAATTTACCCCAAGCCTGGGAACTTGTTCAGACTCACACGGTTCAAGCGGTGGAAGTCACCCGCCATCCCCTGCCATTTCCCCTGGCTACACACACAAACATCACTTTGAACCATTAGATGATAACCGGCATCTCCCTTTTTTTTCAGCGAGATATCTGCTTCCTCTACCTTCAACATCTTCCCAGTTTGGGACAGTCTTATCACACACCTGTTGCCTGTGTACACTGTGTGTGTGTGTGTTGTGAAGAAAATCAAACACAAGTAGAACTTTCACTACACTTTTTCTAATCTATGAAGTTATTTTAATTGACGTGGAAAATTTGCCCACTGCTATTAGTTTTCTAGAAATTTTCTTTCTGGTGTTGTTTGCATAGAATGTCCTATTGACAGTGTTCAAAATTGAAGAATATAAATTTTAAAAATGGTAACACTAGGCTCTTGGTACATATATAGAAACTACTACTATTAAGTAAGCAATCCCAAAGATATGAATTTTAAAAAAGCCCTAACCCGGCGGAAAATACCTGGAGTTTTGAAAAATAACCTTAAAGTTAACTGTAAGCTAATACTTTCACAGCTGATAAAAAAATTAAAAGAATCCTGAGGTAATTTTGACAGAAGTGAAACTAACAATGTAAGCATGCATTAAGCGTCACTTCTCGTCTCTTTTTGCTGTTGGAAGCCAAAACCAGCTGTTCCACTGGCAGAGAGAGTGGTTGTGACCTTGTTAAACCTGCTTCACAGGATCAGACAGACTCATTCAGACACACATTCAAGATGGCAGATGTGACATAACAAGTTAAGATATGCTGCAAAGACTGTTAAAGATGACAGTGCTCTTTCACTTATCCTCAAGGAGACACAGGCATACGGTTCTCTTAACACCAATATGAGACATTTGTAACACCATACACGCACTGATAGTCTTAAGCCCAACAGGTAAACAGAGACACACCTGGTTTCCGAGAACACCAATGGAACAGGCAGTGGACACCTCCTGCTGCCCAAACCACAGGGACGCAAGTCTGGATGGGATGCCCAGGATATATACCGTGGCCACTGAGCACACAAACTGGCCGAAGAAGGTCATGGCAAACATTTTGGGGTCGGCAGTGCTCGTCTTGATCCAGGCCCCGATGCAGTTGAAGGCTGAGCCCACCACCACCACGTCCCTCATGCCCCGGTTGTCGAGCAGCCACATGACAGGCAGGATGAGGGGGATGTAGGTGAGGAAATAGATCATGGAGAGCCAGTCAATGGCCAGGCTGTTGATGCTGTAGAAGCGCATGAAGATGTTGCTGATGATGCTGTACTGCAGCCACATGAAGGCATTGCTCATGGAGTAGGCGCTGAAGACAAACAGCATGAGCCATCGCCGCTTGTAAAGCTTGGTTTCTAACAGCGGGAAAAGATGTGCTGTGTCCAGGTCCGAGGTCTGTTCAGTGTCACTGTTATCTTCGAGAGGCAGATGGTAGTTGTATTCTCCAAAATTGTTTGTCTCTTGTCTTGTTGGAGACTGTCCTTTGCTTCTGCCTTTGCTGCGGTCGGCTATCCAATCATGAGAGAAGTCATCCTGAGAAATCATGTTGCTCCCACTGTAAGCCTTCCCTTTTTCTTCAGGCTTCTGCAGCACTTAACAGCTGGAGGGAAGAGCAAACATTTTCTCCTTGTATGTGCGCTTTCTTAACACCGTGGCAATTTTACCTGACTAGCCCCTCCCACCCAGCAGGTATTTCCTACAAGCTAGCCTGCTGTGCCTTAAATGGAGAATACTGCTTATTGCTTCTTCTAATTTAGCAGCGGTGGATCTGGGGTGCAGTTTAAATGTAATGAGTTTGAAGGCTCTGATCCCAGCCAACAGTTACATACCTGACTGACTCTGTGTAACACCTCTTTGGTCATGTGATGGATTCCTTTTCTTAGGTTTACTCAATTCAAACTCCTCCTTCCAGCTCAGAGAGTGGCTTGATTTTATTGCTTAAGTTAGGCACATGACACACGCATACTGTACATAGATGTGCACAGAGGAGGTAAAGTCCATTGAGGGTGATGCTAACCAAAAACTGCAAGTTCATCAGAATACATACAAACTGCTGAACTGGAAAGAATGGACAAACACATGAGATACTAGCATGAAAATACAGCTTCAGATTTTGTGGCTTGGCAACAAACAATGCAAAGCAAGACTGTGCAGATACAGTAGCCTTATGCAATACGTGAAAATCTGACCTAAACCGTCTCATCAATACATGACAGTAAACAGTAGATTAACAATAGGAATACCTCCTTTATCACTACACTATGAAGTTCAGGTTCAACACTTGTGTACTCATGGGGAGGAAGTACACCACAGTATCCCTCAGCTGGACCACCGGTTATTAAAGTGTTTGTGGTTCATAAATTGGATTTACTAAAGCCCAATCACTTTTTATTACACCATCTGTCTCTGTCACTAACATAATAGCAGACCTGAAGCTAATTAATTTTTAAAAAGTTGGTTACATACACAGTGCAGTCAGAAAGTATTAGCACTGTGACACATTGTTGGCTATGCTGGTTTTGTAATCAATGCACAGATCTTGTGTACTCAAAAACACGGGGTTTTAAATGACACAGAAATGCTGACTTCCAGCTTTAATTTAAGGGTGTTTACATTAACATAAGATGAGCACAATATGACTTTCTGGGTTTTCTGCCTGCAGTGTAGGAAGACTAGATCATTATAACCAAAGGTGAGTATTATTATATTCACTTGAACTATAGATCTGACATATAAAACACATAATATTGTTTAAGGCATAATCAGCATGATATGTAATGTAAACACATGCTTAACCCCTTTTTTACAAACAAGTATTATTCCAACCTTCAAAGCTGCTCTGTTTTGCTTATTGCCAACTTAGTCAACTCGTAAGATACAATTATGTGTCTAATAGTGTTTTAAGGCACGGACTTAAGAAGTTAAGTAACTCTGGTGAGGTCAGCTGGTACAGAGAGGTCATTGATGCTGAGTAATTCAGTGATTTGGCCTCTATGGAACTTTTCCCTGAGATTAGACTCGCATATGCTCACATGAATGTCTGTATTTTACTACACATGTCTGAATTGTAACACTTGAATGACACATGTAGGCCTCAACCGGCCCTTGAATGAGGATAACAAACAGGGTTGAGTGATTGATGGAGCATGACATGATGAAGTACAGGCACTGCAGAGTAGGGATTAAGGTTAAAATAAGGTGGTGTGGTGGTTCTGATGCTAAATGATGCAAACTGGGGCTTGTTGTCACAGATTACTGTGGTAAGATACTGTGGGACAACTGGTCATGATCAACCATTTTCAAACTTTTTACAGAATATTACTCTATCTTGTCTGATAGATGTGTTCCTAACTAAATATTCATGAGAATTAGAGCTGCAACAATCGACAGAAAATTAATCTGCAACTATTGTGATAGATCTAATAGATAGATATATTTAATCATTAATATAAAAACTGACTAGCTCCAGCTTCGTAAATTTCTGGTTTTCTTTGTCTTCTATGATAGTTTTGTACTTTTGTGGTCAAACACAACAAAGCATTTTGTGCCTTCACCTTGGGCTCTGGAAATGTGATGGTCATTTTCTTTTCCTTTTTTTTTTGCTATTTATGAAGAAAAAACTGTGAATCTAGTTCTACTGACCTATTCAAATGTACCTGGTAATAGATTATCCTTACACTTATGTGCCTCATTTTATGATTCATTTGATAATTCTACATGGATAAAGAGAAAGTTGAGCTAGGCTATGAGATATCCAACAGACTATAGAACGAAAATAGGGAATGATTCCTTAGGCTCTAATATATTACGTTTATATATAGTTAATAAAGATGTTTTTCATTAGAAGCTGTAGGTGTATGATTGAATGGTCTTTAAAGGAAATGCTCTCTACTGTTGTGTTGTGACTGTCCCTGCTGTCTACACCACCTGGCATGGCAAAATCCATGAATGGAAGGAGTGAAAGGAGGAAAAGGAAAACCAAAAGCTGTCTCATTACACTGAAACTGCAACCCCCCAATGCACTTCGTGTTTATTATTTTCAGACGTCTTTAGGGAAACACCGTGGCACGAAAACATGAAATCAGATAATAATCAGTGATCATGTTTTAAGTGTCTAGTGGAAGGCACAGTACCAATTGACTGGCCCAGATTGCTTTATTTTCCGCAATAAAACGCTTATCCGCCCCAGATAAAGCCGTAGTAAAACAATCTCAGACTCCACGTCTAAAACGCGCTCGCTAATATGGGCTGAAGGCTGCCTCACGATCATATTACGCTTCCTGAAAGGGACGAGTTGTAAACACATGAGGTACAAATAAACAAAGAACCCCGACAGGATATAACTCTGAGAGGACATTTCCCCACAATATGTATTTTAAAAAAGTCAAAGAACCGCCAGTTTACTATACCTGGAGGACGGCAGCATTGGTATACTACCCAGCAGCGCTTACGCACGGAACCAGCAGAAGATGGCGAAATAGTGCACGTCACCTCCCATTTGGTCACCACCCTCAAAACAAATAGGGCAACACTTCTAGAGAAAGGCGGATTTTGACTAAATGAATAAACCTCTGTATTTGGAGTTGGCACGGGTGGTGATAGATGTGCAACATTAATGTGAGACAATATAGTAAAGTAGAAAATATCACTGGAGAGGTGAAAGTGTCAGTCAAATGTTTTCTGAGTTAAGTGTACATTTACTCAGCTACTACTACTTATGTAGGCTACAGTTTTGAGATATTAGGCCTGGTTGAGTATTTCTATTTATCCTAATCTACTTAACTTCAGAGGGAAATGTTGCACTTTATACTACTTTTAGCACATGATAATTTGATCTGATTCTGATAGCTAAAGTTATGCCTTTCATATGTACAATGTATAACAATGCATTACTTTCCTGAAGATTAACCAGTGGTTCCCAAACCTTTTTGGCTTGTGACTCCTTAAAATCACAGCAGTCGAGGCTCTTTATCAGATGTTATGAGTTGTTATTAATTTAAATTTCTCCTCTGTATTTCTCAAATGATGGTTTCATTTGGCCCAAAGAGGAGTTTCTCCAAAATATAAGAAAGAAATCTCTGCACAGCTGAATGTGCGACAGGTGCGTCAAAAGAAGGTGCAACAATAAGAGACAGTGTGCGGGTCCCTCATTGCTTTCAAGGCCCCAGGGAGGGGGAATTATCTAATATTTGACAAATATCAGAAGCAATTAGTGAAAAATAATTTTAAAAATCATAACATTTTGTGTAGGAGAGCTGTGACGTTCTGCTTTTGTACCCCATTAATCATCTGCCCCCTTAGATTGAGCTTGTGACCCTTTGAAGGGGCTCCACCCGTAGATTGGGAACTACTGGACTACCTAACTATATAAAAAAGTAGGTGAAAGCGTCATTTTGACAGCTACAACAATAAAATTCTATACAAAATGCTGCATAAGTATAAAATGCAATCATGTACAGAGTATTTTACTTGTGATACTTTAAGCACACGTTGCTGTAAACTTCTTTAACTTCACTTTGAAAGCAGGACAAAAAATCTGAGGCCTTCTTCCAACACTGAAGAGTTTATAGGCGTAACATGAAGACGATACAGTGTTTCAACAACTCGAAGAGACCACAAATAATAAATATCCATGGACCCTGATAAGCTTTTTCAAGCAGGCTTGGTGACTATGCAGATAAGCTTGACCACGTCAGCACACACACACAAGCAAATTAGTTCATGCTTAATTTGCAAAGGAGGATTATTATCAGGATGTTTGCTTAGTCAATATTCTGATGAAGAGTAACACAACCAAAGACACACGCAGATGTCAAAACAAACATGGTGGCTAGAGTTGGATACCAGAGGTGAATATGATTGCACTGGGTAACTCACCACTCACACCTTAGTTCATTAATATCAGCACATTTTGGATTGTTTTTGGCAGATTCTTCCTAAGGTCCATGGACCCCTCAGGAACCTTTGCCAGGAATCCCTTTAGTAACTGTACACACTAAGGGATTTAACATTTAACATATTTTCATTCAAGTCAGAAGCACAAATGACTGGCTGGATAGCCATCAGGGCAATGTGGACAATGTGCAATGTGTGCATGTCATTTGATTTTTGGTATTTGATTATTGGCAAATGTGTCTGAGAATTTGCAGCAACACTATAATAAACTATAATATCAACAAAAGCAGGTCCTGCATTATTACCTAACATATATGAGAGTGGGTCAGGTGGGGCCCAACAGAGAATATGCCCAATATCCCCTCAGAGGCTAATCCAGCCATGGGTTTAGGTCTATTTAAGAATACTAATGTAATTGAACATGCCAATTTTATTATATATTTTGGCTTTTTCGTGATCATAAGAGATCAACTCACCTGATTCCCAAAAACTCCAATGGAGCAGGCGGTGGAGACCTCATCCACGCCGAACCAGACCGATGCCAGGCGGGAAGGCATCCCGAGGATGAAGACCTGCGCGAAGGAACTCGCAAACTGTCCGAGCATGGTCACCCCGAACAGATCGGGTTTGGCACTTGCCACCTTGATCCACGTCCCGGCGCAGTTGAGCGCGTTGGCCAGCAGCGCGGTGACCCGCAGCCCCTTCTTATCCAGCAGCCAGGTGACCGGGAAGATTAAGGGGATGTAGGTGAGCATGTAGATCATGGACAGCCAGTCCACAGCGAACCCGTCCACATTGTAGAACTTCATCATTATGTTGCTGATGATCCCGTACTGGATCCATTGGTACGCGTTACTCAGGGAGTAAAAGCTGAACAGGAACACGATCGCCCAGCGCCTCTTGTATAAACGCGTTGGGGCCGCAGAGCCGCTGTCACCGTTTGGGATGCTGCTGCATTCAATGTGGTCCACGGCATCCGGACCCTGCGCTCCCAAACGTGGGCCGTTATCCTTCGCCTCCTGTGCGCTCCCGTCCTGTGAGGCCCGCTTATTATCTCCCATTTTCTGCTTCAATTAAAACGAGCGCACTCTGAGGACAGCAGGTCTCCCACCACAGTAATAACCTAAGCTAGTTGAAATGTCTTTGAAACCAAGAAAAAAAATCTATAAACTACTACTTTCCGTCCATGTGACAAATGCAAAGATCACTCACTATTACCAAAAGGACTGAGATTATTTCAGACTTCCAAATGACTGAGCTGCTGTCCAGAAGTTCATTTCTAATACTTGAGCTGTCTGAGAAATCCCCTTTATTACAGACACTGGGTAAGAGCTCACCCGACTTTTACTCCTCCCAGCTGCTGAGATAAGAAATGACAGTGACTGTGAAGTGGGACACACCGACCAGTCAGCCAAAGCAGAAAAAAACTTAACAGAGAGTTTGTGCCAGTGGTACAAGTTTGTCCTTATTGTTGCCTGTTTCCTCTCCTGGTGAAACACTGCAGAGTATCACCCACAAATGTATTCTATTCAGTCATATTCTTCTAATTTATCATAAGTTTGCCATTAGTTCTCTACTTTTAGCCTACTGCGTTTAGTTTCTGTAGTCTCAGTCACCACCATGTTAATCTGCAGGTTAAATCCCTCCTGTCAGGAACAATGAGCGCCTTGTACTTTTGTGCTTATTACTTAGTACATGCCGAGAATTTCTGTTCTTATATACTTATATTTTTCCATGTAAGATTAAATGTGGATCAAATCTGGACTCAGCAAAAATGTGATTATGCCATTAGTCACCATTTGATTAAAAAAAATATACAAAGGGAAAGGCATGTGAGCAGCTTTATGACCTAAAGCAGAATCACATTTGGATGGAATAAAGTTAAACATATAAAGTATTTTGCTTTATGAGACATACAGTCCAATTTAGCAGCTTTTCCACTGTTATAATAAGTGTTAGCCAGAGCTGAAACAAAGCCCTACATCTGCATGATCATGTGTGATCCCAGAAAACAAAGTTTAAAAGTCAAACCAATAGAAATGTAGGTACATGTATATACAGGGTAAACCAGCTTGTGTTGCTACTGACCACCAGGTGGCGCCGTTTACCAGAGATTTTGGTCATTAAAACATTTTTTCAATTTTGTAGGACTCAACAAAAATACCAGGAAAAAAAAGAAACTAAACATTTATTTCATATGGAAATACAAAATGGGATTTTGTGATAGCTTATATGCCAATATAACACCATATACAAAAGTATAAAAAACATAATTGGTAGTAACAATATGGTAACAGAAAATAAAGTACAATGTAAACAGTCTATATATATATATATATATATATGTGCATACATGACGCCTGCGCCAAAACATAAGAATAAAGAAAAATAAAAAAGGATCAACTGCTCTGCTACTAAACGTATGAAAGAACAAAAGTGACCAGAAGATCATGAAGGTTAGTATGTAGTAAAAAGGCTTCTGACTGTTTCTGTGGGTGTAAGTACTTCATACTGTACCACCACATATCATCATCCATATGTGATGGTTAATGCATTCCAGTAATTATTCTTTCTATTTTACTAAATGTATCCTCATGCCCTTCTTTCCTCCTACTGCTGACTTCTAGTTGTATTTCAGTTTCACATTAACTAACACAATGCATTTTAGTAAAGTCATTTTGGGAATACAGATGTCTAAAATAAGATGTCTGTTTATAGCCTGATCACATATATAACCATTGTTTTTAGGTTATCACTCCAACCTCACTTGAAAACAATAATATGAAATGCTGTTGAAACAATAGTTATATGATAACTTGGCGACAAACAGACAGCTGTTTAATCAAATTTAGCTCAGCTTTAGCTTAGACTTTTAAAATAAAATAAAATGAATTAGTAAATTACCAAACTACTTACTGAAATTACTGAGCTGACATTAACCACTAGGAAATAGTGGTAAACCTTTTCTGCAACCATATGGCATAAATCAACCATAAAAAAACAAACTGAATGTATGGGATGTAAGGTTTGACTTCATACTGATAGTGGCGGGAGCACTGATGACCAAAATGACAAAGACATGGGAAAACAAGATGGACAAACAAAGAGAAGTTTGATTTAACTGCCAAAACCGTTTCCAATCTTATTGGATCCACATTTTGTGGTGTAACGCTCTGTGACTTAAGGTAGGAAGACTTGGCGGCTGGTTCTCCTCCGTGACCGAGGTCCAAAGCTAAGTGCTGCTAGTTGGCTGCTTCTTCTCAAATGTAAACTGTCGAAAGTCGTCGCACCCTCACTTGGCCTCCAGCTGCTGCAGCAGAGGGTTCACCTCGCTCTCTGGGGTTTTCACACTGTCTGTCCTGACAATACATGTGGGGCGATGGCGGTTAAGCATGAGGATCAGTTGCTGTCGTTCGAGCTTCAGCTCCTCAATCTGGGCTTTAAGGTCAGAGTTTAACATCTCTAGTCTCTCTGATTCCTGTTAGAAGAGAGAAAATGACTGACATGAAGTAGGAGTGGTGTTTTGGCTGGTACAACAGATAATCATAAAGAATTTGAGAGTTTAAAATAATGACAAAGTGTCTCACCTTTTGTAGATAATCTGTCCTCTCTTTCTTTTTGTTTCGACATCGAGCTGCAGCCACTTTGTTTTTCTCTCGTCTTCGTTTCCTCCTCTCTTCCTCTTCATCTCTCTAAACAACAGTGCAGGTAAAAAGGTTTGAGGATAAGTTGTGATGGACTTGCTGTACATAAAGAAATATTACCTTCTTCACAATACATTGTCATTTGCCTATAATAGCAGTATGCTTTGGCCATGCCTTCTTCACTTAACATCAATGAGCAACTAAATAAAAAACTATGACCTCTTCCTACGTCTTGTGTTTTTAACTTTGCATGCATGTTGATCTGTCTCGGTCACAGTATGCACACAGTATGCATGCTCATTTTATTCTAGAAGTAACACAACTATAACAAGACATAACTAAAACCCTGAAACCCAAAACAAATAAATTATATTCTGCACTACTATCACTACAACCGAGCTACCTGCACTGTCAGTTAACAAAATCACAGATAACACGCTAATATCAATAGATCCATCTGATTGTGTGACATATTTTCCTCCATGGTGGAAAGACTCCAACAGTATATATTTAACAACAGTAACATGTCCCACTCTGACCACTAGGTGGATCTGTTGATTAAGATATAACACAACACTGTAATTGCAAAGGTGCTTTCAGTTCAAGCACTTGTTTAAGCTATATTAAGCACATTTTACATATAGCTAAGCTAGAATCTGTATGATACATTTAAAATACATCTGCATCTCTTCTTTTCACTGTGGCTAAATCCCATAAAAATAACACATAAATGTTCAATATTTAGAAAAAAGCATGTAACCTGAGTAAAGACTCAAAATACACTATTTACATTTACATTATATAGTTATTCAGCTACTCAGTGTTTCTTATACCTCCGTTTTGATCACTAGGGGCCTCTTTCCTAGACTGTCCAGGAAGTGCAGAGGTGACAGCATGGTACCAAACTCCTGGAAGTCACCAAATTTGAGTTTGTCAGTCAGCGTGGTGGCTGAGATCCCAGCCAGTGGGCCCAGGCTGGGCAGGGAGCCTGCTGTCACAGAGGGATCTGGGATTTGTCCTGGCATCGTGTCAGACTCGGCTGTGACCACAGCTAGGAGGCAGAGGGAGAAAATGGGAGACATACTCAGACGGCAACTAAATCAGATCAATGCAAAACACACAAAACACTGTCTGCTTGTTATAGAACATACTGGGGTATGCTTTATTGTATAGAAAATAGAAAAAAGCCATTTTACATTAACAACTTAGAGGCAAATAGATATATAAGTGCTTCATTTGACCTACAGTCTTTTATAGGGCTTCAAGGAGGCATTTCCCTGAAGTGCACTGCTCCTTTCTAGCAGTCAGACTAGCTTTCCTGAGATGAATTGCTGGTCTGTTACAGGAGCCGGATGCTGAGGTTGTTCTCATTAGGCTATTTTATGATTTTGCTTCTTTTCTGGAATGAATATACCACAATATATAGAGATCAATAATTTACCTAATTTAATCCCTAAAGGCTAAAAGAGAGATGAACAAGATTGCACAAAGCAGAGTCAGACAAATACCCCCTTTATTTCAGGAGAGGAGAAAGCTAGCCATTGGCAAGAAATACCCCTTAACTGTGGTTTCCTCCCTATGAGGGAGACTTAATGTCAGGGGAGAAGAATGTGGCTGACAAAATTCAGAACAATGTGGTAAAGTCTGACCCCAAATCTGACTTATTTTGTTTTGTTTAGCCAAGTAAAAAATAAAGATGACATTGTTTACTTCCAACACTTTTTTGCTGAACTGATTTTATACTGTCTACCACCAGCAAATGGCTCAATTTGAAAATGCTGAACATGAACATTTAAATATATCCAAAGACAATGAGCAAAGCCAGCCAAAGGCACAGGAAATTACTACAACAGCTCAGCGGATTTCCAAGCCACATGATGCAGCCAAAAACTACTATCTGAGGTCAATTACTCAGACCTTTTGCCCACAGTGCAGGAATAAACAGCAATATCTGTCACTAAACACACACACACAACTTCACTAAAGTAAACAGCCACCTGGCTTATTATCATCTGATAGCACATATGTATGGGGATTTTAATGGGAGAGTTGATGTGGGACCAATTATGCATCTACTGAGTAGTTGTGCTGAGAACATGAACTTGCCTGCATGAGAACCTCACATGGGAATAACTTTCCATTTTTACACTTCTCCAAACTACAGGTCAAAAAGACAAAGGGGAACTTGAAATTCTTCACGAAAACAAAAAACTAAAGCGAAACACAAAACCACCATGGTTCATAAAGAAAGATTCCCAGGCCTGCAATATGGACTGATGAGTGCTATTTGAATAGATTATAATTCACCGTTTATTTATTATTAAAACTAATTAAGCTATTAAACATCCTCTGGTCATTTTATTATACCCCTGAAAGTTCAAGAAACCAATTCTCTTAGACTGATTATTCTGTATTGTGACTATTTATTTGTATGTATTTTTACAAAATAAAATCCCAGGTTAGTTTATGAATACACATTTGCAGTACTTGTTAAACCACCACACTGTGTTGCAGCATGCATACTGAAGCCATTGGTCAACTTGAAAGCGGAAGTTTTTCTTCAGTGCGGCATTCATCTTACGTAACTTTGTCTTCCCATCAGAGAGCTGCAGCGATAAAATGTTACAGCTTTTCGTTCACGTCGGATTTCGCTTCGGATAAAGCACATTATAAAGAACCAACGCACCACACCACTATGAAGGACAGACAACAGTAAATAAGAACATTCTGTTCTGAATTGTGCACGCCGTGCTTCCATGTAAGAGGAGCATGCAAACAAAAGAAAATGATCCTTTCTGCAGCATGCTCCATAAGATGTCAGGTCTACTGAACACCCCAAGATAGAAAGACTTTAAAAAAACTGAGAGAATGCAGCGGATAGCAGCTTCTAACCGAAAACATCACAGACCTGCTGGCTGCCTGTTCACAAACTATGCTCGTTATGACCTATGCGTGGCGCGCCAATAAGCTATTCAATATGGGAAAAAATGATCCGGTGCTCGACTTATGAAGTTTTGAATACCGACCTGACTTTGATCCCAGGTGCAACAAATGTCCTTTCTTCTGGTCAGCCGAGGGTCGAGAGTAGATTTTAAAAAGTGGAAATCGTTGCATCAGCCCGATTTTAAACGTGATCCCAATCTGGGAGGATTTGGGAATGCGGAACTTAGGCTATGCCAGCCAAACGTAAGCAGGGATGTAAAAAAGTACATAGTGGGGGCAGAAGTGGGGAAGTCGCACCGCTCCTCCCATAAAGAAACACTGAGGCTGCAGACTGCAACGACAGAATGTGGCTCGGATCGGATGGAGGCCTGCACTGGAAATACAGTGCGACCACGCATCTACACTGAACCCCAGAACTAATGCATATGGACATTTAAAAACTTAATCATTTAATTAATTAGGTTTGGTGAGAAACTGAATGCATGTTGAAGGAATATAGTGATTCCATAAAAATGAGAATAGTTTAAATCTGCCTTCCTTTGTAGAAGTATGACCTTATAATATAAATGTATTGGATTAATATATAAAGTTAACATCCCAGTTGAGGAATGTAATATTCTCATCTGGGTTCAGAAATACATTTGTATTTCTTATTTTTTTTTCTAATTTCTGATAGAGACAGATCGCAAACAACAGCACCAAACACCACTCTGAATGTAGATTTATTATAATTATTCAGCAGCATAGATAAGCAATCAATGCTCATTTACTTGTTTTTAAATTTAACAAATAAGTCAAAATCTCAAAGGTAAAAAAATAAATCATAAGATACATCTTGATAAGATATATAGTATATAGCACTGGATGTTTTCATGGAAAACTTTCAATGAGGTTAAACCACAGTTGATGACATTGAGGTATGCAGGTACTTAACATGGACCAATATGTAAATACAACATTTACAGCAATCAATAACACTTTTGACACCAAAACACAAAACCATACTGTAACATTAAAATTCCACATTACATCTTAGATCTAGTAACAGATCCGATATATATAAGCTTTGAAAATTATTTGGAATTTCTCAGCATGCGTTTTTTAAAATCAAAACTTTACTTCAGTCCCTCCTGTAAAAGTAAAATCCATGCTTTTAGCTACATCACTCAGTTGGCTATGTATCTGGAGAAAGTTTATATGTTTGCTTAGTCACACACAAGACATTTCATGAATGTATTCCTTGAAGTGTTACAGCATACTGTGGCATATGTTTGTTGGTATTATTTCAAAGTCAGGAACCTGCAGAACAGAAAAAGAACCAGAGAGATCACACAGATCACTTCCCTCTGTACATTATAAAGCTAGGAGAGTTGGAGAGTTTAGAATATCAACAGATTCAGCTTTGCCCCCTCCGCCTTTATGGCTGTCTAGTCCCTCTGTGAGAGAGTCCAGCTCGGGGCATGCAAATGTGAACACAGACAGGTAGCTGCTGCAGGTGGGCGTGGAGGTCACCACAGGAGTGCTGAGAGGCTCCAGGTCGCTGGAAACCGACTTGTACAGGGTCTCCCAGTCCGAGACCCCGAGAGAGCTGCTCAGATCTATGTCTGGCACGGATCGAGCCGTCTCCATGGGGGTTTTCTCCTCCAAACTGGGCAACATATTTTCCAGTAGCCCCTCCTTAATGTCCAGAGAGGGCTCGAGATCGCAGATGTTGATTTCAGCACTGGCACACAGCAAGATATTGGAGTTCCCAGAGATGGCTGTGGATGGATCACTGGGGATGTCCATGTCCTGGAGCGAAGGAGCTTCCTGGGTGCCATCCTCTGGAAGTCTGTCCTCGTCTGGACTGGGTGGTAGCTCTGGGGACCCCGTGGGCTCTTGGAAAATAGACTCCATCTCTTCTGACATCTGGCAGACTGGTTTATGTGTTGCAAGGATAAATTCAAGCCGCTCTTTCTCTTTGAGGAGGTTGGCTATTTCCGTCTCCAGGGCTGCTTTTTCCTCCTCCAGCTTGTCTGTCTCCTTCAGATAGATCGACATCCAAAACATCATCCACATTGGAAAACACACAAACAGTGGGTGCAAATGACAGCTGAGTAAATGCATCACTGTTTACTTACAGCTTGCAGCGTGTCGGTGAGTTCCCTCCGTCTGTTGCGACACTTTGCTGCGGCCATTTTATTCCTCTCCCTCCTTATCCTCTTCTTCTCTTCCTCCTCTGGAGACAGCTGGGATGTGAAAGAAATAATTCAGTTATTGCCCTGAAGAATCCAGACCGTTTCATCCTCTAATCCGCTACATCCGTTGCCAATTCACCCTCTGAAGAATGGCAAAAGCATGTTTCGCTGCAATGCGTCTAAAAATAGATCATTGTTGCAGACTTGCTGTGACCTGAATATAAATTGACTGCCTAAGGAAGGCACACAGCCAGCACACGGCACCAGAGGAGCATGCACAATAGCTGTTGCACACAAGGACTTCAGATTGGCATATGTAAATTCACACTATTGACTATTCTGTCCAATAGCAGGTAGACTTCATCTGAGCAAACCTACCTGCTCTGTTTTCCCCTTTCTGACAGCATTTTTTCCCTTATTCCCGCCCTCTTTGGGTGTCGCCTGGTGAGAGCTTTGTGGTTCATTGGCTTGCTTGCTACCCAGAGACGGGGAGACAGATGTAATAATCGTAGGCTGGACCATCCACTGGAAATCTGGGGTAGAGGAAATTGCAGTGACTGTTGGAACAAATGGAGTGTCTTCAGCGCTGGTGTCTTGGCAGAGCTCCTGAAAAATGGAAATAATCAACAATGAGTATTAATAGATATTTATTTTTAAACATAAATATATTCCCATGCTATTAATAATTTCAGGTAGATCTTGTTTTGGTGACAAATAATGTGTTTAGAGTCTAAAACAGAGGGTGGCCTGATTGTTATATTTTCTTGAAATATACCCGACCAGAAATAGCCTTCTCCGGATCAATATTTGACTTTATCATTGTTTCTGACGTCAACACTGACGCAGAGATGCTGTGGAGTCTCCTGAATGGATTTATTTTTCTCAATGAAGCGCTGCATCGACACGCTCACATTTGGTCCCAGGACGTCGGAATCATAACAACCCGACCAAAGGATGCTATTTTGTCACATTCCCACCCGCACTGATCTCTGGGCAAATGATGCAGCACATGTATCACAAACGGTTTTGTTTTTTCGTTTTTAAATTAAGCGCACGCAGTTAATTAAAATCGTATCAACCAGTTCCACCTCCCTCCCTGCCCCCCTCCCCCCACCGTGAAGATAAAAGCATTAGGGCACTCAAGTCTGTAAATCACATTTAATAAAATATATATATAAAAAAAGGGCTGTTTTCATCTGCTTGTAAACTGCCTCCCGGGCTGCACGCTGAATATATGATCAACAAAGCCATTCATACCTTTGCATTGCTCTCTGAGGAGGAAGCTGGAGAGCTCGGCTCTTCTGGCGTCTTCTGGCAGAGTGTCCCGAGAGGAGACTCTGTCCGGCAGGTGGGAGAGACTGAATCCATGTCGGGCGTCAGGTTGTTGTGATACATCACGAGGGGGGGAGAAAAAAAAAAACACACACACACACACACACACACGAGTCCTGATCAATGACAAATATGACTGTGGCCTTCCGCTGAGCAGAGCGGCTCGGGTCTTTTCTCCAGGTATATACCTGGTAACTGGACGACTAGAATGCAAGCCCCTCCTTTTATGCTCTGCTAGAATTTTATGAATGAACCAAGACTGTACCATCCGCGGAGGGGGAGGGGGGGGGCAGACTGACAGCCATGCAGGCCTACATTTCGGGGTAAAAAGAGCATTATTTGTATTCGTCCTTTTGTGTATGTTCCCAGATGAATAATATGGTAACCATTTCTGTTCGATTTATTCACAACTACATCCTCGCACTGGAGTCAAACAGCAGTTTTCACTCCCATTCATAAAATATCGGCTCCATGTGAATGCAATGTGAGGTGAGAAACGTGAGCCTATTTATAAATACACATATGTAACCATTCCATGTGCGATGGACAGGCTCTGGTGCGTTCATTTAACCAGGGCTAAAGCTCACTTATGAGATTAAGAGTGCACAAATATCCGAACAATATATCCACTGTGTTTTTTTTGTTTTGTGTAATGTGCAAAAGCTCATTTATTGCAAGGTCGATGCAAGCCATTTTTTATTGAGCATTTCACAAATATAGTAGGCCTATGTCACCTAGGATATAGCTTACATATTTACTCCGCTTACAGGTGAACTCCAAAATGAATTAATTTCGCCAACCCCATTTCATTTATATGAAAAACATCCTCCATCTTTTTTAAACTTGGCCGTGTGACGGACCTCTCGGTGAGCTCAGCACTCTGGGACTGCCTTTTCCAAAGATAACAATCGAGGGCTGTTAGCAGACATAATGAAATGATGCTGTATTGTTTACTTGGGGAGGAGGAGATGAAGAGGAGAGGCTGAACATGTGGGGGCGGAGAAGTCACGTGACACGATGGGGGGGGGGGGGGGGGGGTGATTGGCTGCATTTGACAGGAGCAGCATCATCTTTCACTCCCATCACAACAAGGGATTGGTAGCATGGCTACACTTGGCGTTTTCCTACTGATGCAGGTCTTTTCGGACCTGCTGATTGCTTTTCAATGCTACCTTGCGGTCAGCTCTAGAAAATGTCTGCAAGAACATATCCACCAAAAATGTGCTGGTCTCAGGCGAGTACGAAGTCAGCCAACGACAGAAAACTACAACTAATTTAAAAGGTACGACAGCGTGAGCACCCGTGATATAATGGCAGACTTACTACAGACTGTCTTAGCAGAACAAAGAGTTCAAAAGTGCAAGATTAAAAAGTAAGACACTGGATCACTACATCCTCCAATAAAACACACATCCCTGCAAGTTGTGTTAACTATAAATAAAATGGAGGGAAAAGGTAAAAATCAAGCTTTTATTTCTTTAAGGGCATTTTATAGAGCAAGGAAGTGTGTCTCTTTTGAGAGAACATTAGAGGCAATTTTGAAAACAGTCTGATACCATATGTTAAGAACATTGTATGATTTTCCTGTTTTGCCTTAAAGATCAGTTCTTGTCTAGTCTTATCTCAAGATATGAACATATTGCTTCATCTTCCAGCTTTAGCAGGCTGGCGCCCAACTTTGGATCCACTGAGTTGATAACTGAGATAGTGAAAACCCCCTCTGTTAACTCTTTCCTTTAAATCGCTGATTATTTCGATACATGCTGTACACTAAAGAAAGTGCCACACAGGGACATTTTTTTTCCATTCTCCCACAGAAAATCAGGATCAGTTTGACATTTGCTTCTACAGCAGATCTCCTATTGTTTTCTGTCAAATAATTTATAAGGGATTAATGCTCATCTTCAGGCAGTGGGAGGGTCCCAGACCAACCAGTCGAACCGAACATGAATCATGGCGTGGAAGCGAAGAACTACGCAGAGGTGAGGGACTGTTAGTACTAGTATATCAAAGATCATGAGTACCATGAGTATTCATCCAAACCACGACTGATTAATGAACTTTGAGACAGCAGTAAGAAAGATGATCACAGCATCTAAACATATTTGATAGATTTTAGTCTTGAAACCTCTTTGTCAGATTGAAAACGTGGAGAAACTAAGCCCCCCTTGAGGCGAGGCTGAGACATCTTGAGCATCTCTCACAGTCCACTGCAGATGACTTTAATTACTTGAAGAAACGAGGGACAGAGATGGAATACATAAATGGTAAATGGATAAAGCGTTATGTTGAGTGTGTATGTCCATCATCACTTGCAGCTAGGCTTTTTTCTATGGATTCAAGTTTTCCATCATTTGTCCCCTTTGGCCACATCCCTGTGTGAGATGTCATAGCCGGGGTTTTGCCTTTAACAGTGGATGGAAATCACCTGCTGTTAGGGGTGTGGTCAGAAGCAAGCTTGGGGTCTGAAGTCAGAGTTGCAGCAGTTTTCTCATCTGTGTGATTCATTGCTTGTTGTGTCTGAAACTATGAAGTTGACTTAAGTGTTTTACTGCTATATTATTATCTTAAACAGCTTCCACCAACACACCATTGCTCCTCTTCAGCATTATTTCCATGAGTGCATTGACCATGTGGCATGTTTTCTATTAGAGACGGTTCTTCAAGGCAAAGAAGTTGTTTGACTGAATACATTTTTTCCAGCACAACCCGAACTCAGCTTGATAATCAAGTGGACCACATGTTTGGAAACAGTTCATTTATTTTAGCGTTTCCTCTCCTCTTTCTCTCTTCTTACAAAACGTAATGTTATTCATTTCTGACATATGTCTTCGTATGAATTTACAGTTGCTTTGGTAGAAACCAAAAAGTTTTGGCCACATTGACTATTTCAGCCATGTTATAAGGGAATTCTTATTACATAAAGTTACATAAAGTACACATTTAAAAAATACACACCCACTTATCTATTTCCATATAGTTCCCACGCTTTATACATTCTTCTCAGCTTCTGCAGGTTGGGTTTCTGTGATTCCTGCAGGGACAAGAAATGCTTAGTCACACCAGATTGTTGTGCTGTACAATGCCTTGAATACTACATTTAGTATAGTCAGGTGTGCTACTCCAGTCTGGTACCTTCTGGTCTTGGTCCAAATGGAGGATGTCTACTAAGGGAGCAATGGATGGACGGCCGTGGGCACACTGGAAGGGCAGCTGGCAGGAAGACAGGGACGCCACCAAGCTGTAGCACTCATCTCTACTCAGGCTGTCATTGAATTTGATGGCACCTGTTTAATGGATACATGTGATCTGTGTGAAGTAGTGTAACTGGAATTTATTGGATCACCATTGCACAAAACAAATTAACTGAAAGATGAAGAGAAGTAATTTAACCTTACCGTGGCATGCTAGGGAGGCTAGCACCTTCAGCACAGTGAGAGGCAGAGTCCCTTTAACTCTACCAGTTGAGCGGAGTAACTGAGATCAAGAAGAAGAAATGATACATGTTACCCTTTATTGAGTAGTAAGATCCACACAGAAAGGTTTAGAGACTAGAGACACGAGCTTACCTCAATCTGCTCTTGAAGGTACTCCTGATGTGTGAGAAAAAACAAATGGTAAACATAAGGGGATAGAATCGTAAAACCTACTTTGCTAAATGAGTGAATGACTCTAAATGAGTGAGGTTTCAGAAGTTGTACCTCAACAATAGGCTTGATAACAGATGGTCTCCCCCGCCTGAGCTCATTGCTCTCCTTTTCCATGAAGCACAGTGGTACCTTCCCTACAAGAACTTGTGGAACCGCGGCCTGTGAGAACTTCACTTCTAGGCCCAAACTCCGTAAATGTGGCTGACAAGACCTGCAAGAGGAAGGGTCAACAGTACATCAGCAATACAGTAAACACTTCTCAAACAATAATGACATTGTAATAATGTGCATGGTATGAAATAAATAGGTTGGAAATAAATACACCAGCTGAGGTCAGTATTCAGAATAGTAAAGGAATTAAACATAAAAGAGTTTAAAGAGCTGTGTGATGCAGTTTAAATAACCGCACACAGAAATGGTGAAAGTTGGTTTATAACATTTGCACATCTAGCTTCTGGCAAGAGGATAGTTTGTTCTAGGTTAACAAGATGTAAGTGGGAGGATGACAACAGGCTTCTGAGGTGAGTGACTGTGTGTCGGTATCTGTGAGGCCTCGTATCATCAAGGAATGTAGATCAGAACATCTGAATCACAAAAGGGATCAGAGCTCCAGGACATCCTTCCTGAACCATAATCGAGGGGGAAAAAAGCAGATTGTGGCAGTTACAGAAACAATACCTCCCTGCTGGCACATGTTCCTACAAAAGGACTCCTTCCTCTGTCTGAAAACAGAGATGATTCTTTGACAATGCTCCAATTAAAAGAAAACAAAGTGAAAAAACTTACAACCTTTGAACGTAACTAAATTAAAACACGTATTTAACCAAGGCATTTTACAGTGTACACTCTACTATTAATACGGGCTACAGTAACAGCAGTATTGAAGCTACTGAATGATGGCATACGAGCCAAAGTGCTACATAACAGCTCTGGGTTAAGACAGAGGTGAAATGAGGCTGCGTCACTGCACCCACCCTTTCTGTCATCTTTATTGCTGCCATACTTCACCTCATTGCCAAAACTGCTGCTGGGTGCCTCGTTGTTGTATAGAGCAGACAGCTGGCTCCTAAACCTCAACCGCTTTACTGCCAACTCCAGGGTAAGTAAATCCATCAAGCAATGACAATGCCATCACACCAAAGTAAAAACACCAGTGTATCCTAAACACCAGCACATACAGGACAGAAGACAGGTCCTGCATCAAATCAACTGTAAAAAAAATTAAATAGTCCATTTCCATTAAACTGGCAGAATTCTCTTTAATAAAAGACACTCACTTAAAGATATAGCTTCTCTCGAGCTGCATTGTGAAGGCTACAACCAATCATTTTTGAAAACCATGGCCATATAGAAAAACACACCTAAGCAGCCTTTGCTCCTCGTCTGTTACACTGATCTCAAGAGGTGGCAAAATGGTTGATGAACACAGACGTCTCTCCCCTGCTGCATCTGGGTCATCCTCATAGGAATCTATGAAATGACATACAGTTATCACTGTAGTATCACATCAGAGTCCCAACAACAGCATTATTAATTCAAAAAAATTAAAATTCTCAATATTAATACTGTGCATTCTGCGTTAGTGTTTTTTTTTTTTTTTTTACCTGCAACTAGATTTTCAAGTCGAACTCTCTCGTGTGCAGCGTGTTGATCCACCAGCACCAGAAGGTTTCCTGGGGTTTTAATGTCAAATGCATGAGGAGGTGATAAAACAACAAATGACAAAATGGTGAAGTTCCTGTCTATACCTTCATTTTCTGTCTATACCTTCATTTTCTGTGACTGCTGCAGGGTCTTCATCGCTTGTATTGATAAGACATGCAAGAAACTTCTTATCCACTTGATGAATGACCTACAAGGTAATTAAAAAGCAATTACTTCATGACATCAGTAAAGGCAACATTTTGTCAGAACATCCAAGAAACCAAAAGAGAAATTTGCCTTCATTGAGTTAATCATGGCTTTAGAAAAACGGTATGGATACAGGATGTTGTGGATCTTGACAGCCAGTCCGTCAGCCTGCCCACTGGATATATCCACACCAACCTGTTGACACAGTAGTTCATAATGTATCATTAACACACAAAAAGGCAACTTAAAATTTAATGTCTGTAAACACTAAACTGTAGATACAACAAGTGGTATAAATCTAACCAGCAAGCGCCAAAATTTACCGTAGGAGGTCGGACAAACACAGGATTATTCCATTTTGAGTACAATGAGGTAAGAGAGTTGGAGCTCTCACCAGTATCATCTGTAAGACAGACAAGATCATACATAAACACAAACACGCCAATATTCATGTCGTATCTTGTGTGTGTGTTAGGAACATTACAGTTTGATCTGTCTGCGAGGTACCTCTGCCATCAAGCCCTGAACTAATCACTCTTTCTGTCCTGGATTTAGGCAGGAAGGGCAACACTAGATCCAATTGAAATGGGTAACATCTGTATTCCATCCCTACAGTGTAAGGAACAGGAACAGCAGGGACATTGAAGGTATTCGGGGTTAATGTTGACTTCCAGTGACCATCATGTCAACATAAACTGCTGAGAAGCACAGACAAACTATAAACTCACCCATTTCTGAGATGACACTAACTGCCATGTTGGTGACATCAGATGTACAGCGTGCGGTTGTTTCTTCAGTGGGCGGGTCCTCGTATCGGCTGAGTCCAGTCACTTTGTTGATATAAACTGTCTTTCCCACAGATGTGTCATAGTGATGAAGCCAGTCACCGGACGTTGTACTGCAACCCGGAGCTGGCTCAGGATTCAGTGCAGTGTCGCAGTGATTCTCGTTGTTGTTGCTGTCCTGGATGCCAACATTACCTCCACTGAGACCGGCTGTCGCCTGCGAGGTAGTCCTGGTCAGGTGTGGTAATATTTTTGAATTGTCCGTCCTGTGTTGTTTCAAATGGCAGAGTTTAGCTGCCAAAGACGTTTTGCCTCTATTCTGTGCCGACACTGGTTTTAACTGGCTGAAAACTGAGAGGGTTGGTGGGCTTCGGAGACCACTTTGTGTCTCTTCTTTTGCTGTTTCTGTAACATTGCCATCTTGCTGATCTTTCTGGCAAACCATCAAGTTATGGGGAAAGCTGCCTGTCTGAGGGAGTCTAGTATTCATCTCTTGAAGAGTCTCATGAGAGAGTAATTTCAGCTCGTCGTGACTACCGTATATTCTTCTAAACTTCTCAAGAGATCCAGCCTCCTTACCCGAAGACAACTTTTGACAAGTTACAATTCTGGGAATCTTTGAGGGAATAAAAGGAGCAAAGTCTTTACATATTTTCTGACACGGTCTATCAGGACCTGCATCCAGTGATATTTTGCGTTTTGATGGAAAGGATCTCTCTTCACATTTCTGTGCAAACATTTGCTGGTGAAATACTGACCTGTTAATTTGGGACGAGTCCCGAGTCTGCAGACTGTCATGAATGTATGGATCAGACAGGCTTATCTTTCTGTTACTTAATAAAATCTGTCCGTGCCCTTCTGTAGCCTGGCAGGGTATTTGTTCAGTACTGTTTGAATCAAGCAGAATTTTTTTAGTGCTGCTGTCTAGTGAAGTCACCTTACTGGTTAAGGTAGTACTGTCTAATCTTTCCTCCCTTTCTTTTTTGAGTTCCAGTTTTTCACTTTTAAGTTGTCTAACTGACCTTGACATACATACAATTTGAGAGCCTCCCCCAGCTTCACTGAACACTGGCTGCTGTTCTTCACTAGTGTTATTATCAGATGCAGCTTCCAGTCTAGCCAGATCACACAGCGGCTCAGCTCCACACTCTTTGTTTATGCTTTCTCCACTTTTTATCTCTTCCAACTCATTTGCGGTTATCTCTTTCTGCCCCATTTGTTCAGTCTCATCTTTGCACTCCATCGGACCAGACTCCTGGCAAACGCTGTCCTCACATCCACAGTCGTCTCTGCGCTGGCGGTGAACAGGATCAGACGCCAGTTTTGTCCCAATACTGCAATCTAGTGCGGACACACTGCTAGTTGCTTGGCCAGCGTTGCCACTGCTGTGCGCCTCTCGGCCTGTATCGTGAGCGGCAAACAATTTGGGAGATACGCAGTCCAAATCATCTTGAGAAAGTACAGCCACCAAGTTCTCCCGGCTCATGAAAGCTTTCACTGCCTCTTCTATACATAGCAAAATGCCATCCCAATCCTTGAACTCTATAAGAGTTTTGGCCGGCTCCAGACATATGTCATACTCTGAGTAAGAGCATTTAACATTGATGACGTATACTCCATGCAGCTCTTGGCTTCGTTTGTGCTTGGGACTCCTGATGGCAGGCTGCCAGTCTGGACTGTCACTTCTCTGATTTGAACTGCTCAGCCTGCGGAGGAGAAAGTTCAGCAGCTTATGAATCCGGGTTTTCAGGAGCAGTCTGTCGTTCACATACAGGAACTGCAAGCTGCTGTTGTAGTGACCTTCTCTGCCGATGTAGCCCATCACTTCAAACTGTCCATGTGTGTGGCTTACCTCTCCCAGTTTCTGTGCTCGCCCAAGGCTGTGTATCTGAATGAACCTGTGGTAGGTGTTTCTAGCTTTGGGAAGCTGCACCATCATGGCTCCTGTGCAGTCATTCTTCAGGGTGAAAGACACAGAGGGATGCATGAGAGAAATGGCCTCCAGTCTCTGTCTGATCCTCTCACCCTCCAGGACAGCGTCCATCCTCTTCCTCCGGACAGGCATGTTGTGAAAGAAGTTACAAATGACAACAGTTGTCCCTGCACAGGGTCGAACAGCGTCTGACTCAAACACCACCATGCCCTTGCCACCTTTGAAGATTTTGACGTGAGTTTTCACTGATGACCTGCTCCGGGATGAGATTTCTACGAGCGTGGCTAGAGACACTATACTTGCCAGGGCTTCTCCTCTGAAACCATACCAGCGGAGGTTGTCAAGGTCTTCAACAGAGCTGCATTTGCTTGTGTGGTATCTGTTTCCGATGCACTCCATGTCCTCGGCATTCATCCCAGCGCCGTTATCGATTACCTGAACTTTGAACGCCTCCATGTCCATCCTGATTCCCACACAGGTGGCCTCGGCATCGACGCTGTTCAGGATGAGCTCCTCCAGGCACTGCTGAAGTGAGGGGATAGCGACACCAGAGCGAAGTTTCCCCTGGACCTCTGTAGGCAAACACTTAATCATTGTGTTCATTAAATGCAGTTCTTTCCGCTACGTTACGTCTCGTACCTTGTCCTGACTGAATACACTCTCAACCTGGTTTAAAATAAGCCGTTACTAGCTAACGTCCCGTAACATTAAAACGTTTTGCCGCCTCACAGCTCGTTAGAAGCTGTGTGGATAAATAAAATAAACCACTAAAACCATGCTAAAATGTAACTGAGCTACTGTTTGCAGTCAACGTGGAACAACAAGAGACGACAGTAACATCTAACAGCCAAAGCTAATCAAAGTAACGCCATCTCGTGGTGTGAAGGACCGACAGGGTCGAGCGCCACCTAGTGTACAGAGTGAGCTCTCTCATGTGTTTTCAACAGTTTTCACTTTCACGAACCGGCATTGCATTATCCTTTTATTTTCAAGTTAAATTAATTAAATACGTGTAAAACCTTACTTAATTTTATTTCATAGAGGTTATATGTTTTTCTCTTTTCCATTCTTATTAATCTCTTTGGATTCATGTCCCCCATTGTCAGCAATACTGTGGAATATGTTTAGATTAACATTGTTTCTTATTATTTTATCTCTTAGACTCCTATTATATTTCTATTTTCTACTTTTTACTATATGTTTATACCCTATATATACATTTATATTCTATATATTGTGTTAGATATTGTATATAAGTACTATTCTTTAACGTTGTGTGAGTGGAACAACTATAGCGAACAAATTAAGTATTTCTGATTCTGATTCATCTTACATTTTATGTATTGCTCTTTATTTCCTAAATATAACAAGTCAATATGTCCGATTCCATCACATTTTTCTTTATTTTTCTCTATTTGCCTGATAAGATTGTATGGATTTTAATTCTGCATGCCAGTTTTGTTTCTGTGGATATTACCTCTTCTTGTATTTTCCTTGCTGTATACCTCTTGGCATGTCTACTTTTCTCAGTGTGAAATTCTTCGCAAGTATTTCAGATTAACTCAAATTAAGGATAAACTGATTCTATATATTCGGCTATTTAGTCAGTGTTTCTTTACAGCCACCTGCAGGGCAGCAGACATTTATCACCTTAAGACTCTTCAGGCCGATGAAGACACCAGCGACACATTTCAAGGTCATACCATTGTCTGTTTGTTCAGCAGGATCTTTACTGGACCCATTCAGAACTGATTTACAGTCCGTTAACAGTCTCTGTTAAATAATGTTGTCACCTCTGATAATCACTCAATCATGTTCCTCTAAATGTTTCAGTCCACGTCCCTAACAACCAGGTTTTCTGTGTTAAAGCTGATATAGCCTTGTCGTTTAGTACAATAAAACTCAATGTAAAGCCTTCATTCATTCATATTTTTCATTTATTGATGTAATTCCATATAATGCAGATGTTAAAGAGACACACAAACACACATCTGTTCAGTTAATTATATTAGGTGCATTCCAACCAATAAAAATAAATAAATAAATATATTCTTCAAAGTTAACACTACAGGCACAATCTATAGGCTACTTTATTTTACTATGTTAAAAGAGGAGTGTTCTAGGCTATCGATTGATTTTTCATTCTTGAACTCTGCCTTGGTTATGTGCGACTTGGGGCTCCCGGTGGTCTTCAGCCATTCTTGCATTTCTTTCACCTTGCTGCGTGGGCCTTGCAGCTGGCCCTGAACCGTTCCTGCGCTTGTGTTTTGGACCCATCCAACCAGGCCAAGCTTCTTCCCTTCTGCCTGGAAAATGACACACCGTGAATTAGAAGATAGCAGAGGTCGGCTACTGATGGAGAATATGGCTGTGATTGGATAGAAGGGAATACTAGTTAGATAAGTTCTTGATCAGATCTTGAACACTGTTCAGAGTTACACCTCTAGGCGTTGTATATAGGGCAAACACTGCTTGTCATTTTCCAACTTAAAGAAATTAAACAGTTGTGTTAAACTGAAGAATTACAGCATTACAAGTTCATTGTTGCCCTTGGAAATTGTAACAACAAACTCTTGAATCAAGGTCCACTTACTAGTTTCTCATGAGCTTTCACCTACCTTCAGATAATATTTTGGTCAAATTAAAACCTAAAATGCCACTTTTTAACACAGGCCTAAGCTAAACTTATGTCACTTTCGAACTCACTTGAGTGTATTTCCGAAAAAATACACCTTGCACTCTGCCGAAAATTTCATAATCCACTGAAATGAGGTCTTCTTTGGACATAGCGAACCTAGAAAAAGAGAAATAAGACAGTACTCGGGTGCTGGGACTATATTTTAGGGACCCCCATCATGCATCGCGGGGGCTACGCTACAGCTACTACAAGCTATGCTAATACAATCTGTTCCTGTTCAAACCATTTGAAACCTTGATAATTAACAACTTTAGCTTCGTATTCGGACTGCATGAATACACCGTAGCTCGCTGTGTGTAATATAAGTCACCTGAATATTGTCGGGAAGCCGAGAGACAACCAGAAGGACCTCGATTCAAACACATACGGGACCTCGTTTCAGGAAGTGATGTTGGAGAACGGACCAATCAGAGAAGACCAGAGAAACTTGGTGGTTTCTAGGCAACTAATGTAAACGTTGGGAAGAGGACTCTCAACCGTTATTACGGTTATCTCCGGGTGGCTGTATTTGTAGCTGCCTTTAATTCAGATGAAACAAAGACAGTAAGTGTTTCAGACCCGGTTTTAGGGGACATTTTGTTAACCACAGATGTAACGTTAATACCAAGTAGATTGAAGCTCGCTACATCTTTTTTTTGACGTTGACCTTTATCGTTTGAAATGAGAAATGTCGTGTGAGCGATGTTTTGTTTTATGTTTAAGTATTTATGGTATTTCAGGAGTGAAAGCTATTTTCCACTTTAGAGTTACTTAATGGCTGTTAACAGTTGTCTACCATATCACATGTTCTTCATCAGCAAATTAACTCAATGTTGG